TCCGACACTGTATGTAAAGACGCACTAATGGCCTTCTTTATCACACGTTAAGAACACAAGGTTCCCCCTCAAAATTGGCTCACCAATTCAATACTCAATTCAAGACTTCTGCAATATGATGAGGTACATGGGGTATTTATAGTTGTAAAATAAATCTAGGCCTAAATCTAATAGATCTCCTAAATCATGCAAGAATAGAAATCCTAAGTCTAGAAAATCCTAAACCTACCAAAATACTAATGCTTGGCTTGCACACCAAGCAAATCTAGAAGCTCCCTACAATTAAAAACCCTACACTAAAAACTTCAGCCCTCTTGCACGCCCGCCGCCTCACGCATCGCGTCGCACGTCCGTGCCCTAGTCCTTGGCGCGCGAGGCATCGCGCGCCCCGCGTGTCCCGTACGCGTGCGCCCCAGCTTCTCCTAGTCCTTCGGCAATAAGGTCTCGCGCGCGCCCTTCACACGCGCGCGCTGTCGCGCGCACATTGCTCGTGTCGTCCGTCCCGCGTGCGTGCCCGTCACCTCCCAGCACTCCTACGCCCGCTAGGACTCGATCGTCCGCTCCCGCCAGCGCATCACCCGTGTCGCCTAATCCTTCGCAGCTTAGGACTTCACCCGCGTCGCCCATACTCGCGCGCTTGTCGCGCGCCTCGTCCCTGTCGACTTCCTCGCGCGCGTCTTCGCCAACGCCCTGGAACCCATCGCCTACGGTGCATCCCCGCGTACCGTCCGCGTTACTGCCCGTCCCAGCCGTCCCCGCGGCCTGGCCACCTATCGCACATCCAGCGTGCGTCGCGTCCTCGCTGCCCGACGCCCGCTCGTCACCCCCAACTCCCGTGGCCCGTACGTCCGCTGCTGGTGCATCGTCATCGACCGTCCAACCGCGCGCATCATGGGCCGATGCGCGCCACTCGTCCATTAGCCGATCATTGTCGTCCTTGTTACCACTTGTTCCCGTCGGCTCGGGCCATGGATCCCAACCCTTTAATCTCACACAATCATCTGCCGGTATCCACCAACCATCCTTCTCCCATCGCAAACCCCACCTTTTAGCCTCCTTCTTTTGAGCTTGTCTTTTCTTTGCACAAGGCTCGCACCTACATTGATTTGCTTTTCGGGCCCGTGCTTTGCGTCGTCTCTTGGTCGTCCGTTTCCTTACCATCGACTTCAGCTTTGGCCCACAACCTTTTGGCCAATCTTGTACACCTGATGGCCGGTAAATAGGACTAGATGGCGCCTCAAACATGTTTTCCAGCCAAATATCGAGACTGTCGCCATCATCATTGTCTGACTCACCGGGGTTGATGACCACTTCCGTATCACGCTGTGTGCGGACAGCGCGGCCACGGCCGGCCCTTGCCGACCGTCCGGCAACAACTCTCGTGCAATCTGACTTCAATTAACATAATCTGATATAACCTGAACATGATCACTGAAATAACTTGAAAATATCACTTTTGCACGATGAACTGAATAGGGCCATGGCGAGCGCACCGTGCGCCGCCGACGGCGTTAGGCCGTCTCTCGACCGACTCAACTATTCCCTCGGCAACTCAAGATCAACTAAACATGAAACATCATTTAAAAGCTATTAAGACATAAACTGCACGGACAAACTTGACTTTAACAAGAGATAACTTAACATGACTTGGGAGTGCCCGCGGCCATGCGCGACGTGCGCTGGCGACGGCTTTGAGCCAATTCAAGGATAAAACAATATCTTGCTCCGACCAACATGACATAACTGAGTGTAAAATGATCCAAAATGACCATATAAATAAGAATTGTTCATGAGTTGCCGGAGGAAATACGAAATTACTCGAGCATGGCCTATTTAGGCGTAACCGACCCTATCATGACATAGCGATGAACTCTTGAAACATGAACCAAACACTTCATCCTTAAACGAACTTATTGACATGAAAAGAAGTTGAGGGTGCATTTACCTCCTCAAGTGCTCGTCGGAATTCCAAACTGATCGTGACCTCGCGTGCGCATGTCCGTGTGCGATACCAACTACCTCTTGCCGTGCGATGCTTCGCCGTACGTCTACTGCTACTTGCCGTGCGTGGAGTATGGAAAAACTAAGGCAATTTGCTTGGTCTATTGATGTATGGGCTTAAGGACTCGCATGGTACGAAATATAGGGTTGAATTTGAGATGGGAAAAATTTCCCAAGTACCTCATTATATATAAACCGAATGGAGCACCCAAATTTGGAGGATGATGATGCTTAGACGTGGCAATTATTTAAGCTTGACATTTGCTCCTCATTTAGATGATTTATGATGACTAATCATCCCCTTAATTCCCAACTAAGAGCACGTGTACATGATTAAAATAGAAGGAAAAATATTTTCCTTATACTTAAGACTACACACGGCATTTTAAGCTTAATGTTGGGAAAAAATAATTCCGTACGACATTTTTGCATGAATGTGTGATTAATGTTTAATTAATCACTTAATTATGCTTAATCAACTTTTAAGCATAATACTTTATTACCAAAATTATTCCGAACGTAAACGGTACGTCGAAATAAATTTTCGGTAATCTCGACTGAAAATAATTAATTCCGAAAATAATAATCGATAACATTATTATATCAGAACTGAAACATAGTTTATACTAATAAGCTGACGGGATATTACATCAGCTATGTCGGACGGAATTCCCAAAAACTTGCATTCGACGTTCGACGAAGCTTGGACGATGACCAGGCCGTTGGGGCGAGGCCCTCCTCCGGGTTTTTCTGGCCCATCGCAAACGCCGATAACTCCTACACCTATCCTTCAAGGTGTGGGAACGACGACAGCAATTCCAGGAGGAGATGCCGGCTCCAGTCGGGCCCAGGAAGCTCGCGCAGCAGCTGCGGCGGTGATGCCACTACCGCCGCCACAAAATCCAGTGATGGTAAAACCAGGAGGGGTGATGGTGCAAGGAGGAGTGGCGACACAAGGAAGAGCACCACAACAAGCCGCCACACAAGCTCCTGGATAACAGATGGCGACGATGACTAGGGAGGAGATGCAAAGGATAGCGGCAGCCGCTGCGGTGCAGGCGGTGCAGCAAGTCACTAGCCACACATCTCACACCACCACCGCGCCGACCACGTCAGTAGGAGGCCAAGACGAGGATGTGTCCAGTTATGGAGATGGAGGAGGTGGAAGAGATCGTGCGATGGAGAGGATGGCAGAGCAGTTGCGTCAGTTGCAGGACAAGGTTGAAGGAAGGCTGTAAAGGAGGGCTCGAGGACATCTATTCTCGAGGGAGATTACCAAATAATTTCAAGGAGACTAATCTGGTGTATGATGGGTCGTCTGACCCGTCAAGGCATGTGAGGACCTTTGAAAACATGGTTGTATTACATGGGTATTCTGATTCTGTATGTTGCAGGGCATTTCTATCGACCTTGCGTGGGAGAGCACTTAACTGGTTTCATTAATTACCCCCGGGGTCGATCGTAAACTTTGAGGATTTTTCCAGCAAGCTTACCAATCAATATTCGAGCGCGGTGGCGCAGGAGAAGACATACTTGACGCTGATGGCGATGAGGCAAGGAGAGAAGGAGTCGTTGAGGAAGTATGTTGCTCGATATAATCAAACGCGTTTGGAGGTGCACTCAGCATCGGATGAGGTGAAAGCAGGAGGATTGATACGGACTCATCGAGTGGGGCCTTATCGAACCTCCCTGGCAAAGACCCTTGCTCGATCATATGAAGACGTTTTGAAGCGATGCAGGAAGTACATTAATTTGGAGGAGATGGAGATGGAATTTGCAAAGCTGGAGAGGGCGGCTCGACCAGAGCCAAAGAAGGAGAAGAGCCCGCAAAGGGGAAGATCGCCAAGGAGGAATTCGCCCAGGAGGAGTGGGCCGAAAAAAGCATCGCCCATAAGAGAAACTCGAGATTTGAAAAAGGAGAAGAAGGATGAATGGTAGAGGAGGCCAATGTTGTTCGAATGACAGAGGTATCATAATTTTACACCCTTGAGGAAAGATTTGACAGAGGTGCTCGAGGCTATGGAGCAGAAGATGTCGAGCGAGGATGTGACGTGGCTGTAGACGAGGTTTACAGGACCGATTCGACCCAGGTCGGATATCTACTGCTGTTTCCATCGAGATTACGGCCATACCATGGAGAACTGTAGGCATTTGAAGGATGAAATTGAAAGGTTAATTCGGGCAGGACATCTGAAGGAGTTTGTGTATCATGAGAGGGCGAAAGAAAAAGGGAGGAGAAGGTGTCGGGTGGAATCTGAGGAGAGAAGTGATAGAGATGAGGAGGGTGATGATAGAGATGGGCGAGATGGTCGAGAAAAGAGGCTGAGGAGAGATGGAGATAAAGGGGGTCAATGAGGAGAAGCCCCGTTGAGGAGGTAGGGATTACGGCTCGAATGCCAGTGATAAGTTTTAATGCGGAGGATGCTGAGGGAGTGGTCTTGCCCACACAACGACGCTTTGGTGATTACTGTGGAAGTGGCGGGCTTTGATGTGAAGAGGGTGTTCATTGATACCGGGAGTTCGGTGGACGTGATGTTCTATGATTGTTTTGTACAGATTAATAAGGAGCTGAACATGGAGTTGAAACCAGTGGGCACGACGTTATACGACTTTAACGGAGGAGAGGTTATGCCGATGGGAGAGATCAGCTTGCCCGTGGCGTTGGGATTAGGGGTGATGAAGAAAGTCTGGATGGTGACGTTTGTGGTCGTCGGGGCTGAGTCGTCTTATAACATTATAATGGGGAGAACAAGCTTGAATGTATTCCAGGCGGTCGTATCCACGTACCACATGACGATCAAATATCCTAGGGCGAAAACGTTGGAGAGATTGCTAGAGACCAACTTACCTCGAGAAGCTGCTACCAAATTATGGTGAGGAACAACATACAGCTAGCGAAGAAGCAGGTTAGGCCAAGAGCGGAGGAGGTCAATCGACCAAGTGGGTTGAGGTCGAAAGAAGATAGGCAAAGATTGGAGAAGAGAAAAGAGAAGGTGGATATCCAGCCAGGATAGGAGGTCGAGGAAGTTCAGATGATCGAGGGATGTGATGAGAGGAAGTTCAGAATTGGGAAGGACTTGGAGGAGACCATCAGGTCGAGGTTGATTGGCCTGGTTAGAGAATTCGCGGATATCTTCGCGTATACAATGAAGGAATTGATGAGAATAAGTGCGGAGGTGATCGAACACCGGCTAAACATCGACCTCAGCGTGAGGCCGGTGAAGAAAAAGAGGAGACATCACGGAGCGGAGATGGATAAAATTATCGAGCAAGAGGTGGAGAAGCTGCTGAAAGCAGGGCATATCATGGAGATTCAGTTCCATTATCAAATACAGTGATGGTGTCAAAAGCAGAGGGAAAGTGAAGAATGTGCATCGATTTCCATGATCTGAACAAAGCGTGCCCGAAGGATCTGTACCTATTTCCTAGGATTGACCAGTTGGTCGACTCGACGGCTGGGTGTGAATTGTTGAGCTTGATGGACGCCTCCCAAGGATACTGTTAAAGGTATGCTGTAAAAGCTATATTTTGCAGATTCTATCAATTCCATTTTGATCTGGCAATCATGTTTTGGTCAAAGTACATATGTTTGCAGTTTATTTGTTTATGCAATACATACTCCATGTCTTATATTGAGGTAGTGTGGTTCGAAGAGTTTCGAACAAAAAGATCACCTATCGGTTCCTTATAAGACTAAACTATTCGTTCACAGTCTAGACTGGCAGTGAGACCCCACTTGGAAAAAGACTGTAGTGTATTCTCGATTCAGTTGGTCTTTGACTGAAGGATTACACTAGCACTTATGTTAAGTGTTGAACAGGACCGCGGAAGGCAAAGGTTATGAGACTCACTGACCGTTGTTGTAACCTCGCCCTTCAGTGATTGATGCGTTCTCTTAAGCTGTAATATAATATAAAATAGGCATATATATTTATCTCTTATTTATTTGATTTACCAAGTGATTCCTATTCTGTTAGGATGACATACGAGGTATTTTGGTAAGTAAGAATAATTATATGATGTGCTATTATAGTTTATTTACAGTCACTATGTTCCAGTGTGCTGGATTAATGACGTCCCCGAAATGAGCTCAGAAAGGAACATTATGTTAAACCCTGCAGGTAGACGATTGTCTGACATAATGGTTAAAGGCTGAGTGGTATATTTCGGAAATGAATAAGAAGTTGATTAATTACTTTGTCAGTAATTTAATTAATCAACGGACGTTATATCTTAAACATAGGGAGGTAAATCGATCAATCAGATTAATATTATTTAATCATGGAGGCTTGATTTTATTGATAAAATAGTGGCTAAATGGGGAGAGCAATAATATTACTCTAGTGGGATGTTCTATTATTTAATTCCATTAAAT